TTCAGGTTTCAGTTTTTCCCCTTTAGTATGATGTTGGCAATTGGCTTCTCATCTCTAGCCTTTACTATGTTGAGGTACATTCCTTCTATTCCTAGTTTTATTAGAGCTCTTATCCTGAAGGGATGTTGAATTTTATCAAAGGTTTTTTCTGCATCTATTGAGGTAATCATGTGGTTTTTGTCTTTGCTTATGTTAATATGTTGTATTATATTTAATGATTTGTGTATGTTGAACCATCCCTCATCCCTGGGATGAAACCTACTTGATTGTATGGTGTATGATCTTCTTGATATGCTGGGGTTTGTTTTTGAATTTGGTTTGCTAATATTTTATTGAGAATTTTTGCATCTGTGTTCATTAAAGAGCTTGGCCTCTCTCTCTCTCTCTCTCTCTCTCTCTCTCTCTCTCTCTCTCTCTCTCTCTGTTGTGTCCTTATCTGGTTTAGGGATGAGTGTTATTCTGGCTTCATAGAATGAGCTTGGCAGTGTTCCTTCCCTTTCCATTTCATGGAAAAGTTTGAGGAGTATTGGTTTTAGTTCTTTAAAGGTCTGAATTCAGCAGTGAATCTGTCAGTCCTGAACTTTTCATTGTATCTTTGAATTCATTTAGTTGTTTATTTGTATTCACTTTGGATTCATTTAATCATTTATTCTTACTCTTTGGTTTCATTGAAGAATGTATGTCTACATTCATCTCATTGGTGACTCATCATTTTTAAGCTCATAAATTGAGATTTCATACATATACATGGAAACAACACAAAGAATCTCCCTGTGTAGCTATCCTTATAGTGGATGGTGGCATCCCGGAGCATAGTTAATGGGTCAAAAAGTACTTTGCTAATCTCAAAACTAGCAAAATGCCATGTTTTTCTTATTATCTTTTATATTTTGTCTTCTACAAAATAGGAAAACAAGAAGGAGGAACAGGTTCTACCTGGAGGCGGGATGGGGGTGGGAGAGTGGCCCAAATAATGTATACACGTAAGCAAATGTAAAAACAACAAAATAAAATTTAAAAAAATTGAGATTTCATCCTCTTCACCTTTAATCAGGTCCTTTGTTGTGATTTTTTTTGACCTTTTGAGGTGTCATTTTCCCTCGATTTTTTTTGTATTCCTGTGCTTTTAAGATTTACTCACTTGTATTCAATTAGTTGGTTGGGAATTTTAGTCATCTAAAGTATTTCTCTTGAATTATTCTCTATATTCTCTCAGGACTGGTTAGTATAGTGGCAGGGCTGAAGTGATGTTTGTGACCACTGGCCTGGGGGTATAACTGAGCAATAACAAATTCACCAATCAAACTGGATATTTACATGGAGTAAAATACCATTGACACAATCTATACAACCAGTCACACCATATATGAAGGGGACTAGCATTCTTAATTTGGTACAGTAGGGGGTTAGAGAAAGAAAACTTATATTCAGAGGAGTTAAAACTTAGGTAGTAAAGATAAGAATGTGAAAAAGGAAAGAAGAAAGATGAGAAAGGGGAGTAAAATGTGAGGGTTGCAGGTAAGCAACTACTATCCCTACTAGTGCATAGGGATATAGTTCAATTATTGTGGAGAAGGGTGCTATTGTCAGGGATTGCAAAATTATAGAAATGCTACCAACAATAAAAGGAGGCAGAACTAACTGCCAGTATAATAGTTTATAAGTAAGAGATAGGAAAAGTGGGGGAAAAGAAAGGAAAATATAGGGGGGAAATGACAATGTAAACCTATTTTTATTAAAGTCAGTCTTTCTTCCTTATTGAAGAGAAGAGTGAAGGTCTGTGTGGCTCTCTCAGTACAGTTGATATTCCCCTCCACCCTCTGGTTATCAGGTTTTTGTCTGCAGATCTCCTCTTGTGGTAAAACTCTGGAAGGGAGTGGTCTCTGGATTAATACAGCTGCTGGGGTTTAGTGAGTAGTTCCAGGTGAGTGGGGTAGCAGTCAGGGGTGGGTGGTGGCATCTCTGAGCATAGCTAATGAATCAGAAAGTACTCTGCCAATCTCAAAGTACTTTCCCTAATCATGGAGTCCAGTGTCTCTCTGGCTTGTTCATGATGAGGGTTTTTTCCTCCTCTAATGTTTCTCCATTTTAATGTTTCATTTGGAGTGTGAGGAGCAAATAGCTCCCATTACTTACTTACTTGTGTATATGCATGAACTACTGTGTTGGGTGGTGGGTTAAGGGTTCTAGCTAGCTGGCCATGTCGCTTCTGTGCCCTCCTTGTCTTGGGATAGAGACCCTGATATTGAGCTCTAGTCAGCCAACCTGCTCGCTTTTTATCCCTTCCTTTTAACAGAGCTCCTGATTCAAGTGGCTCCACCCAACCCTTACCAGCCCATGGCCACATTGGAGCCTTTAATTAGTCTGCCTTGCCCAGGAGTCAGATGTATTTACATGGGTGTGCTGAGCTCAGCTGCAACAGACCTCAGGATTGACACTGGTTCACCTGGCTGGCTCATTTCCTTGCTGGCCTTTTTGCCCCAGGTAGTGTGGCACAGACACTGGTCAGCTTCTGTGTGGTGACCCAGGCAAGACTTGCCCACCGGCTCTTAGCCCTTCATGTAGTTTTGTTCACAGGATGGTCCTTGCAAGTGGTTCTTGTGGGAAGCAGTTCGCATCACAACAATTACAACAATTAAAAAAAAAAAGACAGGCTGTGAGGGGCACAGGGTAGAGAGGGTCCACATTCATGCCCACAGAAAATTTGAACTTCTACTGTCTGTCTTCAAACTGGCACCCTCCTTTAGCCTACTAACTTGCTCAGTTTTCCTTGCAGCCGCGTGCTTGAGGAGATTCGTAGAGTCTCAGAAAGTGGTACATATCAGCAATCTGCCATTTTGGAATCACCCATGGATTATTTTGAGTTGTTTTATTTAGTCTCCAAATATTTGTATATTTCCAGAGCTATTTCTTTGGCTTAATGTGTAATTTCCTTTTATGGAGATTTTTTTTATCTTGTTAAATATTTGGTTGTAGTGTTTGGGTTTCTAATGTTTTATAATTAATAATTAGGTATTAGGTCAAGTTGATTGAAAATGTTCAAATTTTCTGCATCCTTAATGATTCTTGTCTACTTGTTCTGTCAATTAATTGAAAAAAGAATATCAAAGTCCACAACTGTAATTGTGAATTTGTGTTTTTGAAGACCTATTAGATTTGCCTGACATAATTTGAAGATTTTTCTCTTAGATACATACACATTTAGGATTGTTTTTTCCTCTTGATGAATCGACTTGTTATTGAAGAATGATTCTTTATCATTGTTAATACTCTTTACTCTGAAATCTATGTTGTTTGACATTAATTTAGGCACTCCACATTTTTATTAGTTTTATTTGTATCTATTTCCTTCCTCTTAACATTTATGTGTCTGTAAGCGTGTAGATGGTTCTTATGGTTTTCATCCACTCAGAAAGTCTCTACCTTTTAACTGAGGTGTTTAGACCACTTGTATACTGTCTATGTCAATATGGCCAGTTTCTAAAAAAAATCTTTTATTAGGATATATTTGTTGTACAGGGGGGATTCATTGTGACAATTCCAAATAGGTTTATATTGTACATTAGATTGCCCCCACCATCTCCTCCCCAGACCCCTTCCCCACCCCACTTCAAGCAATTCCAAGAGGTTTCATTGTTCTATTTCATATAGGTATATGACATACATCAACCATACCCTCACCTTAATATCCTTTGTTCACCCTTCTCGCCTCCCATAAGGACCCCCCATGCACCAATTTTGTAGACCTGTCTTGTTATTAATTTCTAAATCAATGTTCAAAGGGATTTTTGATGTATCCCTGTTGTGAGTATACTTTACTTTGGTCTGTTCAACCCCTTCAATATGTCCAGGTTTAAATATATCATCTTGCCATTTATTTTGTTTGTCTGATCTATGTTTGTTTTACTTATTCCTTTTTTCTTACTTCTTTGGGTTACTTATTTTATTGCAATTTCCTTTGTTTATATTAAATTTTAATAGTTTATACTAGTAATTTTTCATTCATTGTGTTTTACCTTCAAGTGGTATTATACTACTTCATGTATAGTATTAGAACCTTATTACATTATAATTCAATTTTTTCCCTCCTAATCTTTGTGCTATCCTAGTCAGACATTTAAATGTTATAAATAATACAAAATACCACATTATTATTAATTTTGCTAAACAGTTATCTTTTAAAATAATTAAATCAAAATAAAAATACACTATTATTAAATCATCCCCATTGATGTCTGATACCCCCTGAGCATCTACCTCCACCATAGAAGTGTAATATCAAAGTATTTTTTCTAATCATTTACAGACCTCCCCATGCTAGTAAATTGGTGAATAAAATATTCTCCTTTTATTACATTTATAGTGGTATATTTCATATTTGATAAGATTTCTCTTAACATGTAAGGGAATAAAATAGTCTTCTTTTCTCAATTCTAGAACAGTATAAGAATGATCTGTGAATTACTAAGCTCTACTTGAAATACATAGTGAGAAATGCCAGTTAAGCTTCTCCTCCACACTGGATTCTTGATCAGTATTTCTTGTGTTGGTGTATCTTTGAACAGAGAGCCACTCAGCTTGGGACTGCTTACCAACTTCTGTAGGACTAGAAAGCTAACTTGCATTCAAATCACCTAGTTTATGCCATTTAACTGTTCTCATTATTTCCATATGTGTGTTTTCCCATAGATTTAAAGTTTTTTCTTTGACAAATTTGACTATATGTGAAATGATGATAGTGTTTTTTTTACTAGTCTTCCTGCTTGTGGTCCTGTCTGACATTTCTTATTGGCAATGTTTAGATTTGGCTTTTTCCAAAATGACTAGACCAAGTCATACTTTTAAACTTATTTCTGAACTCATTCTGGAATTGCACTTTCCCTGTGGCTGCTCAAATATCTCACATCTCTTAGATGTAATAATAAAATTATAAAACATCCCTTAATATTCTGACTCAAATGCTTACATAAAATGCTAATTACAGGGAATTTTTTTTATAGGATACAGTGATCTATGAGAGACTTTCAAAAGATTCTCTGTTTGTGCAGGAGACATTAGCCCACCTGGAGTACTTTGCCACAGAAGGTAAGTGAATGCTGTTTAGAATTCAGTCCCCTTTGGAACTGCTATTCTTAAATGTTGAAATTATTACCTGAGAGTATGCCACTGATGTTTGTTGGTCACTCAGGTAAGCAAAGGGAGCTCCTTTGTATATGTGACTTTGAAATGTCTTCTGCTTCCTTAAAACTAAAGGATTTCTCAAAGAAACCTTGCTGATATGTTATTCTTATTACCTCTTTTTTCTCCCTCCAGCACTTTTGTGCTTAGGAGCAAACACTAAAGTAAATGTTTTTTATGTATCTTTCAGTGTCTTCAGTGCATCATTACTTTTCACTAGTTGTATTAGGAACTTGGCCCACAGTTGGAGAAAACAAAAGGCTTTCCCAGTGTGTATTGTACATTGTGAAGTTGATTACTTCATACATTAATTCCAAAAGGTGTCATAATGAAAATTTACTGTTATTTTCTTGTTATTCTTCTCATTTGGGACTTAACCATCTTATAGGGAATTAAAATTCCATTAGTGAGTTTCATATAAAAACAACATTCACTAAATGTTTGGCAGAGGCATTGAAAAGCAAGGTGCAGTATCATATAAGAATAAAGCTAGTAATATTGTGAAAACTGTACCTCATATTCTCCTTTTAGTGTACCAGCAGCTGCTTCACACAGACACATTTGTGTACAGCTGAAAATGGGTATTTTATTCAAGGCTGTAATTTGGGCCTTTTATTGCTATCTTAAAATGTAGATGTGCTATAGGCAGGCTGTACTAGATAGACACATAGGAACTATATTATAATTGAACACAAAACAGAATAACGACTTCTGCATTTATGCCATAGAGAGATAATTTCTAGGGAATCTTCAGGTACATATTTGGAGTTTTGCCTGAGTTAGAATTGAAGTAAAGTTGGCTTAAATTTTTAGAAAAACATATCCTCACAAAATGGTTTGCTTTTTTCTGTTAATTTAGAGATTTGGCAGTAACAGAAAAATCAAAACCCTCACACCCATTCATTCAACAAATAGTTATTGACCAACTTTTATGCCACATACTGCTCAAAACCTCCAGCACAGCAGTGAATCAAATTTATAACACTCAAGCCCTGAAGGACTTGACCAATAAGGAGATGATGTCAGGTCACACTGAGTGATGTGAAGAAAGTAAAACAGGACAAGGGGATCAGAGAGCACTGCCATGCTCTGTCTACAGGGTGATTTAGGCAGAGACTAAAGGAAGAACCATGTGGCTTTCTGGGAAAGGTATTCCAGATAATGTAGAGAGGTGGAGAGTGTGGAAGAGGACTGTATGAAAGGCACAGTGAATAAAGAGGAGCAGAGAAGAGACAATAAAGGGAGCCTGGGCAGACGGAGGTGGTCCCTATGAAGCATGCTTAAAATGCTTTTGGATTTTCCTGTGGGCACAGTAGCTCACACCTATAATCCCACCTACTTGGGAGGCAGAGATAGGGGATCGCAGTTCAAGGCCAACTTGGACTGTTAGCAAGACCCTCTCTCAAAGAGCAAACTGGCTATGATGGTGCACTCCTGTCTCAACTACATGGGAGACAGATAGCTCATGGTACAATGCCATCATGAGCAAAAGTATGAAAGCCTATCTGAAAAATAAAACAAAAAAGGGTAGGGATGGTTTAAGTGGTATAACAAGCATGAGACCCTGTATTCAAAACCCCACTGCTGCCAAAAAGTTAAAAAAAAATTTAATGCTTTTGTTTTTATTTCCAAAGACTCCACTTCTCCCTGGTCACTGGTCACATAGACAAGCCATATATTGTGTTTTTTCTAGCAGGGCTGAGAACTCTCTGTGTTGCTTATACCGATTTAACTGAGGAGGAGTATCAACATTGGTTGAAGGACTATGCAACAGCTGGTACACTTTTACAAGACAGAACTCAAAGAATGGAGGAATGCTATGACATTATTGAAAAGGTAAGGTAGCCCATGTATACTCTGCATGTCAGGACAAATACATGAAGGAAATTTATTTGTCATTGTTTTCATATCTTGATGTTCTTTTCTAAAGCAGTGAGATGTGGGGTTTTTCTTTCCTTCAAAAATATAAAACTGTGTTACACTGAAAATTTGTAAAATATGCATAATTACAAACAATAATTTGTATTATGGTTTCTCTTTCTTCTGAGTCATATCCTAATCACTTAAATCTTGCAATCATTTTTTTGTACCTTTCTATTTCAAAAGAAATACATGTTTCTTATGAAAAATAAGGTAGAATAATGCATAATCATCTATGATGTTGGGTAATGACCAAGTTCTTGTGTATAAGATTCCTTTTGCTTCTCTTTATGTATGTGTGTATATGTGTTATTCCAACATATTTTTAACACATATGTTTTTCCTATGAAAATTAGCACTTGTAGCATACTGCTTGAATCATGAATTTTTCATATGATAAATTGGGAGTATTTTTCATATTGTTAAATATTATTTATGTATTCTCTTCTTTACTTATTTTGTATGGGTGATGCACTCTTATCGTGTGTTGCATTGTGGTTACTTTTCTTCAGGTAATGTGTCGTGCCCTTAATTGAAGGGTGTCATTCTGGGGTCATTTTGAATTTGCTACAGTTGAGACCTCAGGAATATCATTGGTCTTGGCCCAATCTTTATCTTAGTTTCTTGGCTTAGAGTTCTTTCGTCCTTTGGTCCCATGTACTTTGCATTTCATTCCTGCAGAAGTTTGACCAGAACAGATTTAGACTAAAGGATTTTCTTGACATCATCAGGTCCATCCCTTTTTCGAAGTCATATGTTGAAAGAATTGGCATTTAATCTGGCCTCCCTCCAACTGCATTAAAGCATTACATTATCCCCTTGTGATTACTCAGCATCTACTGACAAATCACAGTGATGGAACTGAATGTGTCATTTACCCTGTCCTGTGATTCCAGAGTCTCCAATGGCACATCCTACCTGTACTGCCATCCATCCACTACTCCCACTACCCCATGGAAGAATCTGGGCAATGAAACTGGACTCTCAAACTTGAAAGAATACAAGCATTACTGTGGCAGTCTTGTCTCTGTTAAATTTCTAATTTTTTTTTTTGCTTTATTTTTAAGGGACTCTGGAAGTCATAATTAGGAAAAGTGTAAGAATGTCATAGGATGAGATACAGACAGCAAGCTGAGAAGTGGAATACTTGAAACTACAGGCTGGGTTGGGCATAGTGGTACATGCCTATTATCCCAGTTACTAGGTAGGCAAAGACAGGAGAATTGTGGTTCCGAGTCAGCCCAGGCAAAGTTGGCACAAAAGCCTATGTTAAAAACAAACTTTTAAAAAAGGGTCTGGAAGATGTAGCTCAAGTTTTAGAGTGTTTGCCTAAGAAACGCAAGGCCCTGAGGTCAATCCCCAGTATCACAGGCACACAAAAAGACAGGCTGAATGCTGGTATTTCTCAGTATACCTCCAACATACACATGTTCCCTGGTGGGCAGGGAGTATCCTAAAATATTAGGTGAATAGATGAATGAAATATTGAGAGTTGACTATATCAAAGTTCCCTTCTATCTAAGGAAAACAGGTAGCTAATTTGCAACAGGCAGGGATTGATGTTCATTTCCAGGGCATATTTTCTTTCTTAAATGTCAATGAACAATAACAAAAAACACAAGCTGATCTTGGACCAGTTTTTCCCATCTAGTTTTGGTGGCTTTTTGGCCCAGGTGAGTATCACATTTTTATATTCTGAATGTTAACTGTATACCTTAGAGCTAGTAATAAGCACAACACCGTGTTGTCATTAGAATAAGAAGTACTTGGCAGGTCAGAGGAGGAATCCCATCAGTCTTAGACACTTTAACAAAACAGGGTCCTACTCTTTAATGAAGTGCTATCTCTCAATGACCGTGTGATTTAAAAATATAGGGTGGCATCATGAATCAGGATACTCACTGTGTCCATTTAGCCTGGCTGAGAGGAGATTTAGCCACAATCACTCATGCAGATGTCCGACTTTGTGATGCTAAAATCACATTGGCAATTGTCAAGTGTATTGAATCATGTCTGACCACCATCCCTCTGCTCTCCTTATTTGGTATTTCTCAGGTCACCCAGGAATGGGGATAGAGTCATGAGACCAGATATCTGTGGGGCTGGGAGCCAAATCTTGCCACTTATTGCATCTCCACCAGAGGAGACTTACCTGGGGAGCTACAGGAATTGCCTATCAAAGGAACCTTATAAAAATGGACACATGTAGGGGACAGCAACAGATAAGAGAATTGCTTAGTGTAAACAACTTTTAATCAGACAAAGCCCTAAAAATCATCAATTGTTGACTTTACTGTATTTTTTTTTAATCTGTGGTCTCAATTACATTTTTCTCCATTTGGAGCACTTTTATCCCATCTAGAGTAGCTAATAACCTTGTTCCTCACTTGTCTTTTTTCTTATTTTATATTAGCCACTAGATCATCTCATCACCTTATAACGTGTTAATTTCAACTGTATCAGCTATTGTTATATGTCTTCATTCTGTAGACTTAATCTTTTGGGTCTGTGAAATTGGCTCTTATGATTCTATGCATATTGTTACAGTCCTAGTTTTATTACTAGAGGTGTTTTCTGGCCCTCTTCCCAGCTCTTAGGCTTCTTGAGCATTTTTCATTTAGGGAATCCTAAGATTTAAAATTTTTTTATTGTTGGGTATGGGTAACAAGACAGTTTCTGTATTTGAATCAGTAGTCATTAAGTACATTGTGATTTAGATCATAACTAAGTAATTAATCATCCTGGTACCATGATTGGTTTATTGAAAATTGATAGGTTGATTGAAACAGACTTGATTCTGAGGCCCTCTGACTGTTTCCTATACAATTCACTTATCTAAAGTATATAGTTCTTTGGTTTTGGTGTATTCGCAGAGTTGTATAACCATCAAACAATGAAAATAGAACATATTCAAAATCTCCTACAAACCCCATGTCCATTATTATGTACTCTATTCTCCCAATTGTCTCCTCTCAGCCTTATGCAGCCGCTAATCCACTTTCTGTCTTTGTAGATTTGTCTCTTTTGGATACTTCATTTAAGTGGAATTATATGTGCTCTTTAGTGACTTGGTTTTTTGCCTTTGTATTTTTTTCCTCCTTTTATTTTATCATTTTTTACATTTACTTACATGTATATACATTGTTTTCCCACCTACCCCCCAGATAGGGTCTGATGAATGTTTTGCTCAGGTTGGCTTCCAACCAATGATCTTCCCAATCTTTGCCTCTTTCGTAGCTAGGATTACATGCAGGAGCTACTGCACCCAGCCAAGTTAATTTCTGTGGAAGCTGTAAGGTCCATGTCTAGATTCTTTTGTTTGAATGTGGATGTCCAGTTGTTCCATTACCCTTATTGAAAAGTGTGCTATCGCTCTATTAGATGGTCCTTTTGTCAAAGATTAGTTGATTATATTTGTGTGAGTCTCTTTCTGGGCTATCTGTTCTGTTCCATTGATCTGTTCTCTGTTCTCATGCCAAATTCACACTATCTTGATTATTGTAGCTCCATAGTAAATAATGAGATCAGGTAATACCAGCTTTGTTCTTCAGTGTTGTCTTTACTTATAAACTCTAAAATCGGTTTGTGGAAATCCACAAAATAATTTGTGGGAATGTGATGGGTTGCTTTGTATCTATAGATCAAGACAGAAAAAGCTTACAACTTATTGAGTTTTGTTATACATTAACATGAAATATCTTCTCCTATATTTAGATAGTTATTGATTTTGTTCATTTTTATCACTGTTCTCATATAGAACAGACACATATATCATTAGATTTATACCTAAGTGCCTCTCTTTTTTGGTATTAATGTAAATGATGTTACCTTTCTTCTTCATATCCAGTTGTTCTTTGCTAAGATATAGAAAAGCAGTTGGCTTGTATATTAACCTTGTATCATGCAACATTGCTCAATTGCTCATTAGTTTCTTTTTAATTTTTTGAAATGTTTTCTATATATAATTTTGTCATCTTCAAATGTAGACTTTTTTATTTCTTCCTTCCCGATCTTAATACTGTTTATTTCTTTCTCCTGGCCTCTTGCATTGGCTAGGACTTCCTGTATGGGGTTGAGAAGGAGTGGTACATCTTTGCCTTGTTTCTGAGCTTCATGGAAAAGTACCTAGGTCTAGTGTCACTATTTATTATGATTTTACTTTTAGTCATTTTCTGGAGTTACTTATTAAGTTCAGGAAGTTGCTAGGTTTGCTGAGAGTTTTTCCCACTTATGAGAATGTGATTTTCAAAAAATTGTGTAAGTTATATTTTCATTTTTCTTAAGACTTCATCTGTGACCCATTTGTTATTTATAAGTATGCTGTTTAACCTTCAAATCTTTCTGGATTTTCCAGCTACATTTCTGTTACTTATTTCTAGATTACTTCCATTGTGGTCTGAGAGAATACTTTGTATTATTCTAATTTTTTTAGATTTGCTAAGGTATGTCTTATGACCAAGAATATGGTCTATCTTTGTAAGTGCTACATGTTTATTCTTGTTGAATGAGTTTCTTACATGTTTATTAAATACGGTGAATTGATGGTCCTGTTCTGTTCAACTATGCTCTTACTTATTTTATGTTTGTGGTATCTGTTAATTACTGATAGTCTCTCAAGTATAATATTATTTTCACTTATTTCTGCTTGTAGTTCTTTGAGGTTTTGCCACATGCTAGGTGCATACATATTAAGTAATGTTGTGACTTCTTAAAAACTTGACTTTACCATTATGTAATGCTTACTTAAGCCATGCTTCTATCCCTTTTTGCTCTGGTTACTTTAGAGATAGGATCTGATTCTTTGACCAGGCCAGTCTGGACCACAATTCTCCTAAGTTACACTTCCCACCATTACTGGGATGACAGATATGTACCACCATGCCCTGCTTTTTTCTGTTGAGATGCAGTCTTATAATTTTTTTTAGCCTGGAACCCTAATCCTTCCAATCTCAGCTTCTCACATAGCTTGACAGGCACATGCCACTGTGCCCAGCTATTGGTTGAGATGTGGTCTCACTGAATTTTTGCTTGGGCTGGCCTCAAACTGCAGTCCTCCCTATCTCAGCCTTCCAAGTAGCTAGGATGACAGGCATGAGCCACCAGTGCCCAGCCAGCCTCTGGCTTTTAATTTGTGTATTTCGATCATATACTTTTAAAGTGATTGTTGATGTAGTTCGTTTAATATCAACCATATTTGTAACTTTGTTATCTTGTTCTTTTTTCTTCTTTGTTTTCCATTCTTTTCTGCCTTCTCTGATGTTAACTAGAGATCATTTTATATGATCTTCTTTCTTAACATATCAAGTATATCCATTTAAAAATGTTTTAGTGGTTATCCCACAATTTTCAATACATATTTATAGCTGATTTAACTCTACTTTCAAATAATACCATACTACTTCATGGGTATATGTACCTTGTAACAGAATATTCCCAATTCCCCCCTCCTGTCCCTTATATTGCTGTCATAGATTTCACTTACCAAAACCTATAGTTATGCTATTCATAACCTCATACATTGTTGCTATTATTTGAACAGACTGTTATCTATAAGATTAATTACTAACAAGAAAAATAAAAAATTTATTTAATCTTATTCCTTTCTCTAATACTCTTTAAGTATCTCTGAATTTCTGATATATATTATTTTCCTTTCCTCCGAAGAACTACTATTAACTCTTCCTACAAGGCAAGTCTACTGATGACAAATTTCCTCAGTTTCTGTTTGAAAAGGCATTTATGGCATTTGAAGAATAATTTCACTGAATATAGAATTCTAGATTAGTGGTTCTCGCAGCATTTTAAATATTTAAGTTCACTCTCGTCTTGCTTAATGATTTCAGAAGTGAAGTCCAACATAATTCTTATTCTTTTCCCTTTATAGATAAGGATTTTCTACTTATCCAACTTCTTTCAATTTTTTGCTGTCTTTGAATATGATAAACCTATATGAAATGTACATCATATATGACGTGTGTATTATTGGTATTTTTCCTGCTTGTTCTCTGAGCTTTCTAGTTCTTTGGTTTGGTGTCTGTCATTCATCTTGGAAAAGCCTCAGCCATTATTACTTCAACTACTTCTTCTATTCCTTTCTCTCTTCTCCTTTGTATTTTCATTATATGAATTATATATCTTTTGTAATTGTCTTACAATTCTGGAATAATTTGTTCCATTTTTCATTATTTTTTCTCTTTGTGTATAACCTTTCTATACTCACTTACTAGTTCTAATTATTTTTCTAGAAGATTTATTAGGTTGTGGGGAGTGTCTCATGAATTTTTACCTGATCTGTCCTCAAACCATGATCCTCCAGCACTCCACCTCCCAGGTAGCTGGGATTACAAGTGTGTGACACAGCACCTGGCTCTTTATTGACTTTATAACCTGCTAGATATTGTTCTAATCCTTTACAAATGTTAACTCATAAAGATTCTGTGAGTAATGGAATTTTCCTCCACATTTCCATTTTTTAGGTGAGGAAACTGAGGCACAGGAAGTTCAAGTAATTTGCTTGTCATCATTCATCTGGTAACTTGTAGAGTTAGAATATGAATCTGAGAGCCTATGCTGTTATCCATCGTGCTTCACTGCCTTATACTGTGGTAAAATAGAATAATGGAAAGAATAGAAAAAAATGTATGTTCAGATATAGGAGTTCACATAACGAATTTATTAGATGTATTTTTAGTCAAAATATCTTCCATTTATTCTACCTTAATTTTTAAAATCTTTAATTAGGAATAAAAAAATCTCTTTCAAAAAATATCTAGGAATTTCTGCTGCTTGGAGCCACAGCCATTGAAGATCGTCTTCAAGCCCGTGTTCCAGAAACCATATCAACTTTACTGAAAGCAAACATAAGAATATGGGTCTTGACAGGAGATAAACAGGAAACTGCAATTAACATAGGTAACAGATATGAAGAGAGTTTTAAAAGAATCTCATTGTACATGTATTCTGAAACTGCCCCAGTGTCAAGATGTATGGCTGAGCTTTCAGGTCATTGTCTCATGAATTTGGGAAAATGGAGTCCAATAGAACCATGCCATCACATGGCACAGGATTCAAACAAACTAAGCACAGTGAACTGTTCTGTCTCTTCCACATTCTTGAATTATAGAATGCATATTGGTAGCATAAGTAACTGTTAGTTTCTTGTCCCTTTCCTTTGAAACTTGAAATTATGATATTTTTTGTCCCATGCTTTATATACCTATCTTTCTGTTGTATACTTATTTATAAACATTTGATTATTGGTGACAATATCCAGTTTGTATTTTTCCCCTCCAGTTTCCAATGTCACTCCTTCCTACCTGCTTTTAAAATTGATTGTTTAATGATGTCTTACGAGTCACAGATGGAGAAGGGGAGTTGAAAAATGAACTGTTAGCAGTGAATATGCAGATTTTGATGATGAGGAGTTGAAACTACTATCCTTTTCACAATCATCATAATGGCCAGTTTTAGTTAGATGAAAATGTACAAAGTGACTCCATACACATTGGACACATTTTGAATGTTTCCTCTATTACTTTGCTTACAGTCATTCATTTTAAAGAATTGTCTTTTATTCCCTAGGAGCTGGTAATAAAAAGTTGAGTAAGAAAGCCTCTGCCCTCATAGAGCTTATATATAAATAGAAAATTGACAAACAGATCAATATATGTAGTTATACTACATATATTATTACATACAATAATGTTATATGCACAATATTATTATGTAAATAATATATACAATAGTGTTATATAGCCACAATATTATTATGCATATAGTGATATTATTGTGATAGTGCTAATAATAAAACAAAACATAGAGGGAGTTAGCATTAGATAAAGACCTATTGAGGAAAAGAATTTGAAAAGAGGGAGTTAAGTTTTGGGAACATATCAGGACATTTATTCCATCTTAATTTTTAAAAAATCTTTAGTAATAAAAAAACTCTTTCAAGAATTCTAGGAGTTTCTGTAGTTATTAAGAACTCTTTCAAGTAGTCCAACTGTGGTATTGTTACTGATTTATCTATCTGACAAATATGTGATAACCTACCATGTATTTGCTCATGTTTTTCCAGCTTTCCCATGTTTGGTTTAATGACTTGATGTATTTCTTGATAACCATGAACACTTAATGACCATAGTATCCTAGTGTGTGTCCAAGGCAAGACTCAGATGGCATACCATCTGATAATAGTGTGATTGCTCTCTCACCACTTTCCTAAGTTACACCAGTCATCCTTGCAAAGCCCAGTAAATGAGGATTATTTATTTGTCCTACACCTTCAGTTATCTCCTCACCTTAGGCCTGAAACCCAGCCTAAATGAGACACTGCAGATGTTGTAAGAAGGGGAATTCTTATCCTTCTCAAGTGGCATTTATTTTTGTTACTAGGTATCTATAGCTTTCTTGAATGAGCCTTAGCTCAGGAAAACTGAGATATTAGATAACTGTTACATTTAATTGCATCCATTCAAAAATGTTTAGTAACTATTATAGATTTCAAAGAAGGAAGGAAACAAACTTTTTGATTTCTTAGAGTAGGATTTGCAGACTTAAATACCTGGAAGAATTGGGAAGAATGTAAACCAAGGGCAATGCCCACAGGGAAGTGCTATGAATTGAATGTGGTTTGTTCCTCACCACTCATGTTAGTAGTTTGTTCCCTGGGCTATGGTAGTGGTGAGAGATAATTTTGAACTTTTAAGAGGTAGGGCCTAGTGGAAGGTCCTTAGGTCATTTAGCAGTATAGCCTTGAAAGGTAGTCTGGGAACCTCAGTCTTTCTATGGCTTCCTGTCTGACCATGTGATCTTTCCCTTTCTCACTGGCTCTCCCACCATGATGCCATCTGGGTGTTAGATTCTTACCAGAGACTGACCAGTGGGGCTGCTTGATCTTGTACTTCCAGCTCTAAACCTGTGAACTACGTAACTGTCTTTTCTCAACAGTAGCTTGCACTGAGATATTTCTTAAAACAGCAAGGAAGTCTATGAGAAGAGGACTACATTCTTGCCATGTAGAAATGAGTATCCACGGTTGGCACAGGTTTCTAATTTTTAAAAGATAATTGATAATTCTGCCTTTTGATATGGAAAGCCTGGTTTATACTGTTGGCTAAAATGTGTAAAGCATTGAAAAGCAAAGCAAAATATGTCTGTTGGCTAAATGCAGCCTTCATTGTCCCTCCCCACATAACTAGTGGGTCTAGGGTTGAATTTTATTATTTTCCCTTAGCACCTATTCATGGAGAGGAAAACACTTGTAAAATAGAGCCAATCACCAAACTGACATTACTTGTGGGGTTTTTTGGTGTTTGTTTTGTTCTGGTTTTTTGTTTGCTTGTTTGTTTGTTTGTTGCTGTGCTGGGGATAGAATCCAGGGCCTCATGCATAATGAGCAAATGCTCTACCACTGAGCACTTAATAATTTGTTTCATAGAGGCTTTCCAAGCTCTTACTTTTGTCCCAGAAAACCAAGAGGGTTTGGTCAGGGAGCTCATGTTACTTTCATGGGTTTGAACATTGAGGAATGGATTCTCCTTTATAGAATGCTGCATCTTTACATCTTTTGAAAAGGCATGTAGAGTGTAGTGATTGAAAATCACAGACTTTGTAATTCAAGGACCAGAGTTTGAGCCTGAATCATCTTGTCTACATTTATGAGCTTGGACCTTTGTGGACCTTACCAACCTCATTTTCTTATTTATAAGATGAAGATAGTCGCAATACCTCTGGTGACTGTGATAATTTAAACAAAAATGGTGCATGCTCTTTCTAAAGTATCGGGCAGAGCAAAATCCTTGCAAATGTTATCCACTATCTTCCTGAATATGACAATTCTGAGTATCATCACCTCTCACAAAGTTCACATTGATTACCATGTAGTTAGGCACCATACATAGTCTAGATACTGACTAAGAGCATAGTTTGGCTAAGGATTTAGCAGGAATGAATATGTCAGGATCAGACTGGCCGAGTGGCTCAAGTGATAGAGCACACACTTGCCTAACAAGTGTGAGGCACTGAGTTCAAACCCTAGTCCCACCAAAAAAATTAAATGTCATGGTTGGTTTCTACCAATACAGTGAAACAAGGATATTGTCACATGTTCAGCATAGTTTCAGAGATTAGCATTTGGTTCTGTTACTTTCTGAGAGTTTCTGATAATATGACTTAATTCCAAGCTCCTGCTGTTTGCCCTTATTCCATTGGTGAAATACTGACATTTAGTTTACCAATTCAGACTGAGCAGCCCTAATCCAAAACTGCTCCAAAATCTGAAACTTTTTCTGTGCTAACATGACACCACAAGTGGAAAATTCTGCATTTGACCTCAGGTGATGGGTCACAGTAAAAGCACAGGTGTAGATGACTTATGTCTTTAGGAACCAGAAGTAAAAACCTCAAGTACCAGGCTGCAAGGGAGATGTGCAAATTATTGTAAAAAAGGGTATCAATATAAGGACAGATAGTACCTAAAGAAAATCCAGAAATACTTGACTGTAATTAAACCTCTAAAGGTGCAAATCTGCAGTATAGCTTGGTTTCATCCTGCGCCCTTTCCAGCCCAGGTTATTTATTTATTTTTTTACTACTGGTAAGAGCCATGCTTATGGGCCACTTTGTGAGCAAAACAACTGCATGGAGGGCTAAGAGCAGGTCAGTTAGCCTTGCCCAGGACACCAGACAGAAGCCTTGCCGTATCTGTGCCTAATTGCCCAGGGCACAGAAATGAACCAGTAGGGCAAACCAGCTGTTTCCCTGAGAGCTGCTGAACAAGCAGGCCAAGACTGTGGGCACAAATACATCTGACCCCTAAGAAAACTTTTGGCTATGTGGGCTAATTAAAAGCTCCCTCACTCGACTGCAACCAGCAACAGGAATGAAGCTGTATGAACTGTACCATTACTAGCATTACCTGAGCACCACTGTCCAGCTAAGCCCAGTGAGTGAGTGCAAATACATCTGACCCCGTGAAAATGTTTGGCTAATCAGGTTGACTAAAGGCTCCCCCATGTAGATCTAGATCCCCCAGGGAGGGGTGAAACTACTCAGGACCAGTGATTTTACCCAAAGGAAGAGGGCAGAATTTATCAGATTGGCTGGTTAGAACTCAGCATCTGGATTTCTCTCCCAAAACCATCTGGCAAAAGCCCATAACCCGCTGCCCTAACCTGCAGTGTATGCATATACACAAGTGACAGGAGCAGTTCACCCCCCATTTAAAATGAAACATTAAATAGGAGGCCTTGGTGGAAAGTGGGGAAACATCATAGATAAGTAAGAGCAGCTACTGGACTTCCTGAGTAGGAAATCCCATGGACTTTGACAGCAGTAGAGAGATTTCTGACTTACTTTCTGTGCTTGGGAACCCTGCCACTCACCCCCACCTGCTACCTCACATGCCTAAAACTGTCCCACTGAACTCAAGCAGAGAAACCTAACCTCTAGAAATTGCTACTACTCAATAAGATCTGCCCCATCTCTTCCCAGGAGATGTTCCTAATCCAAAGCCTTCCTCTCAGGCTTCCTGGTCAATCTAGGGCCCTGATGGGATATATGAATAAACACAACAGAAGAACTTCAGACAGAAAGCTAAGGACCTAAGATTGGAGAAGAGCATCATTACAGTGATAGAGCCCAGCAGACATACACTCTTCTCCTCAACAAGGAAGAAATGATGATTTAAAAAAATTGTTTAATTTATCTCTTTTATATAGTGTCATTTTTTTTCTTTTTCCTATCTCTTTTTTACAAACTACTGGAGGTTTATTCTACTTCCTTGTTTTATTATTCTTAATCTTTCTAACCCTTTGTAATCCCTTATGATAACACCCTTCTCTACAATAATTGAAATATATCCCTGATTGCTTGTATTTTGTTTACCTACAGTTTCCATACTTCACTCCTCT